GACCCCGAAGCTACTTCTTCTCGAACGTTCACGACGACGCGAGCATTACGAAAATCGAGCAAACTGTCGTGTTCCGCGTCATCAAGATGTCGCTGCGTTAAATTCCATAATTATTTCTACTTCGAAGGAGTATTGCTACGTAGTTCAAGCAAACTCAAAATGAACTGGATACTATTAATAGTATGATATACTACTACTGTAGTACTGCGGTAGTTAGTACGTTGAATAGCTGTGGATTTCAACAATTCCCCGAAGTTGCAAGTTTGGGTGAAATTGATAATACCCACTACCCCTGGAGACTATGTATGCTCGACTTGGTGCATTCAAGCGAGGTGGTTTGAAGATAGAACATGCTCAGGCGAGTTGGTTGAAGTCAATGCTGACCGCAAAACTTGAGGCCCGCGACACGCATTTGCTTTTGCCACCTGAACTGGTGAAGAAGACCCCAGCGAAACGAGTTACACTCATTGGTATTGTTACTCGTGAGTACGCTCAGAGTGCTGTGAAGAAGCAAAATACGAAAGGTAAAGGTAAAGCCGTACTACGTAGTAGTTCGTAAAGAGAAGGCGGCCACAAGGCCTGTCTGTAGACATCAGCGAGTATGATTACGTAATGGAATTTTGTGAAGAGAATGTTTCATTTTGGCAAACTGTATTGTAATTGGATAATTATACTGCTGTTTTTATTAAAACGTGATGCCTCCTCCTCTTCCTAATGTAAATGTTATGTTTGGGTCACGTTTCATTTGTTACATAATTGCCTTATACAGTCATATTTTTTTGTGATTAACCTAAGGATTTAAACGCCGAACTACTTTAATTTAATTACTTGTACACTTGAATATATATTACTATTAAGAGGTTCTCAGAAATTCACCCATTTCGAGAGCTGCAAATTGACTATACATTATTCAAGTGAATCACTGGCCGGGAATTACATTCACATAGGCAAATTTCGATTTTTAGAAATTCGTCAAGCAAATTGGACAAACGATAGAATGATGGGAACTGCATAAAGTTATAAAGCTCGTCACGAGCTTGCGATTGCAGCTTTCCGCAGCCGCATTGCATGAGTGGGTGATGAGTAACGGGACTCAGAAAGTAGGTCAAGCTGGCCGGGAATTACATGAATCACCTTAGCTACCACATCAACTGAGCTTGGAACCCACGCATAC